GTGGTGACAGATTTGTTTTTAAATGTTTCTTCTAAAAGCTCATTTAGATTTTATGTGGTGCTCTTTTGGTGGGGAGAAATTTCTGATCTGCCTCTTTTTCACAATCTCCTGCCATTTGTGAAGGTGAACAAAGTAGTATTTTATTTAGCTGGTCTTCCCCCTGAACTGCTGGTAACTTGGGAGCTGTGCGTTGGTCAGAAAATCCATCTGTTTTGTGAACTCTGACCACAGAACAGCAAACTCCAAAAATGCACACAGCACAGGAGACAAGTTGTCTGGATTATGCTGACTAACCCTTTCAAGGGCCTCCAATATCATGTGCTTGGCTCCTCATTTTGCTGAGTCACTGTAGTGTTTGTTTGCCTCTCCAGATTGCTGTGTCAAGTTTCAATCCAGGGGCTTTTTTTTGCTAAGTCACGGCAGGTCAGAGGCCCATGCGAGGCTGTGTATTAATCAAGCAGTTTCCTGTTCTCTGGCCTGAGATTGCAGCTGCTTCAGTTGGCTCCACTCCAATTTTGGAAACAAACAGACCTCAGAATTATCTGGAAATAGGTCTAAGCCTTAAATCCAGGGAGCCTCTAATTACTGCTTCAGGGGGAAGGGCAGATGAGTGAAAGATACTCTTTGAGCTGGAAGAAAATGGGAGCTTTGGTAAAGTGGAACTTGATTTCTAATTCCTGCTACTCTGAGAAAGATACACAACACACCAGACAGATTTACCAGTTTGTGTATGAGGTTTTCAAATGCTGCTGTTTGTGCTTAGGCCCCAGTCCTGCAAACACTTACGCACATCTTTCACTTTAGACACGTGAGTAGCCTTGTTGATTCAAAGGGACAACACAGTTAAGTGCTAAGGGTTTGCGCTGTGGGATTGGGTCATTATCTTGTTTTTTTGTGGGTTGACTATGTGAGTTTCTGTTCTCTCTCTTCTGCTCCCTCCCCGGCCAGGTGTATTTGTGAAGGTATAGCGGACTGGAGGGCATGTACAGCCAAAAGCTATTAATGCACAACCCAGGTAATTGATCAGTGCAGTGCGCATGCTGCACAGTTTATCAGTAATGTGCACTCCCACTCCAGTATGCGCTCCAAAGAGCCTGTCAATGCTGTACATGCCCTAAGGACTTTAACCGTACTATGTGCTCCCATCAAACTCTCTCCAGAATCTGTTGATACTTTGTACTCCCATTGTGTGCTCTACCAATATCCTAGCGCTCATTGCTCTCTATTATAGGAGGCGTAAGAGCATATGTCCTGGGGAGTTTTTCTGTTATCCACTCTTTCACAACCCCTGGCACATGTACATGTCACGTGTGTGCTCAGCCCATCTGCCAGTACTCTTAGCTCTTGGAACATTAGGAACAATTAACTGTACTGTGCACTTCTGTCAGGCTTGGAGCATTAGTCCTGGGAATTCACCTAGACCTTGTTGTTCTGTCACCTTTGGAATGTTTGTTTTAGAAGTTCATCTGTGCTATGTTCTCCATAAGTCTTGAAGCAAGTTGTCCTAGGAATTCATCTATAGTATGTGCTGTCATCTTGTTTGGAGCATTTGTCCATGGAGTTTATCTGTATTGTGTGAATCCATTACTCTTGAAGTATATAACCCAAGAATTCATCCATACTGTGTGCGCACCCATCACCCTAGAGGTATGCTTCTGTAGGAATTCAGCAGTATTGCGTGTGCACCCATCACCTTAGCAGTGTGCATCATAGGAATTCAGCCATACCATGTGTACATGCCCGTCACCGCACAGCCCTCATGCTAGGAGGGCGTGTCCCAGGAATTTTCAGTACTATGCACTCTGACTTCTGAACTGCGATTTCAGACTTTACATTTGATCTAGGCTTATCAGACTGTTAAATGACTGCCTACCCCTGTACCATACCTGTATTGACTGTAGGTTTGGCCATCCTGCCCCTGGTAAACATCAATGAATCCACAGTGAATAAAATATCTCACCCTGGTAATTGCCAGCTAAGGTGTGGGATTGCTGTAACCCTTGTCTCCAGATGAGTCACGTTTCTGGTTTGCTGGGGAAACTTTTAGGCTCCATAAAGCTCCTGTCCCCTCCATTAAATCTTTTTAACTGAATATTAACTGCTTTCTTTCTGTTACACTACAGGCTACCACCAGGTTGCATTCTGCTGTGTCACGGTCTGGCACACACTAACTCCTTGTTTACATGTCAGCAGTAACTTTTCCTGGGGAATGTGTTCTCTTCCGAGCCCAGCCTCTGGCATTATTCACTGCTGCCGCAGCAGGGACAGCACATCTCACAGAGAAGTGAAACTTTTTTAGGATGTGTGATTTCACGTGCTGTAGCTGGCAATATAACTTGTACTTGCAGAATTTGCTGTCAATTCTATACAAGGCCAAATGCTCCTTAATTTGTCCTTCCCCATCCCATTTACTGGTCAGTACTTCTTTATCAACTGCTAAACCATCTGACTTCTTGGTGGAATTTGCTAATCCACTAGGATTCATAGATTGTTTTTGAGCTTAAAAAAAAAAAAATCATTGTGAGCATCTAGTCTGACTTTCTACCCGGCCATAGAATTTTACCAACTGATCCCTGTATCAACCACAATAACTCGCAATTGAACAAAAGCATATCTCTTAGAAAGAGACTCCATCCTGATGTAAAGATTTCAAATGACGGAGAATCCACTACATCTCTTGCTACATAGCTCTGATGGATAATTAATCCTTAGTATTAAAAAAACATGTGCACTTCATTTCCTGTTTGTGTTTTTAAAGCTTCAGTGTCCGGGCATTGGAATTGCTTCCTCCTGTGCTTCTGCCCTTTTTGGATGTTTAACTCAGAATAGGAAGAGAGGAGCCATTCTCAAATCTGTGCCAACACACTGGCACACTCAACCCCCCCGTCCCTTCCACAACATGTCACCTTGGCAGCATGGCAGAAGTGACAGAATCTCTCTCTCAACAGCAGTGGAGGAGATCAGTGATGCCCAAGTCCGGCCACTGAAAAGACTGGGGCTACTTAATTTTCAGATTGTTCCATCCCTGTTCTACATCATCTCTTTAGATATCCACAGGCATGCAACAAGGCTGGGGGTGGGGTGCGTGTGGAAGGAAGGGGCTCTTTCATCACAAACAAACCTCCCCCTCCGCCAGAGTTAGAGGTCTGATTTCTTGCATCCTCCATCTCTTATCAGGTCTCTTTGAAGAGACCTGAAAGTTCCACTCATGTGGACAACTTGAGAGAGAAATGGTCATTTTAAGGACACCACCTTTCCACCCTCCATGAGGTGGATCTCTGAAGAAGGATCCCGTATGTGCTGACCCGCATATTAGCGGTCACCCTTCAGGACCCCTATGTGTAACAAGCATATTTTAGGCCTCATGATGTCAAGTCATGACATGAGGATGCAACATGATTTCACAACTCAAATGTGAGACAGTTATTTTATCCTGCCGGATAAATGCAGAAGAACAGCAGTACCCCAAGTGCAATGACATGTGACATGTGGAGGAGGAAGGGAACTAGAGACGATGCAGAAATGTTCTCGAGTGTTCCCATTGCTTTAAGAGAAAAAGGGAAGGCAGGAACCCCAGTTGAGTCAGCTGCAGAAGTGCTGTGTAATCTTTCCTGAACGCTCAGCCTCCTAACTCCAAATGTCTGACTGAGGCGAAAACAACAAATCCTGCCAGCCAGCTTCTATATCACAGGACTGGCGCGGTCCCCAGTCAGTGTTCTAAGGCCTGGCCAGAGGTCTAGGGTGAGAGGCTCACCCCACAGTGCCCTCACCAGGACCTTGGTCCCATTTTTAACTGTACCCTGCCCTGTTTTCTGGTTGAAGGAGAATGTTCTGTTTGCCAAAATTAAAGCCAATCAATGCATTTTCCACATCCGGCTCCACCCTAGCAGGCTGAGCTTCTAACCCATCTAAAGCCTGAAGAGAACTCCATTTTGGCCCTGTGAGTTCCTAATTATTCACCAGTTACGACGGCAGAGGGGCAGGTGCCAGCCAACTACTGTCAGGAAACCAGTCTCTAGACAATCCAGTTGCTCTTTTGCCCCTAGACCCAGGTTAGATGAACTGTTTGCACTTCAAGGTCTCTGCAGACCTCCACCAGAGTTTCCCCTAGCCCAGGTATAGTTCACCATCCTTCAGGTCCAGGAATGTGCACAATAACTGGTGGGGCACAGAGCTCCTCCGGCCCGGGGGCCATGCTGGGGAAAGCAAGCGAGCTGCTCCGGCTCTGGGGCCACATCAGGGCAACAGAACATGCCCCTTCAAAAGCAGTCACATTTTTATTCCTGCGCATGCCTTTGTTTGGGTCCTTAGCATGTACCTTCTCTGTGCCATGTACCAAGCAGTTACTGTGTGGGAACATAGTACCCTTGAAACTGCCAACTATCATTTCTATTCCCTTCTCCTTGAAGTCTGAGCTCCATGTTATCTGAAAGAGAGTACATGTACAGATAGACTCTGAGGGCTTGTCTACATGGGGAGTTATTCTGAATAGCTAGTCACGATTTATTCCAGAATATGAACATCCACATAGGGAATTAGAGTGCCTTATTCTGAATTAGTTAATCCACTTCCAAAAATGGATTAAACTAATTTGGAAAAAGTCACCCTTATTCTGGAATCAGTCTCAACACAAGGAGTTAATCAGGACTAGACATTGCACTTTAAATTCACACCCTGCTTTAATCTGAATTAATTTCCCAGTGTAACCCCCTTAAGCATTAGTGAATCCTCCCAAGCGTCCACACTGGAGCGTCTTAGTTCTCAGTGCTACCAGCTGGGCAGAAAAAGGGTTAACGAGCCTGGGCAAGATGCCCAGCCTTCTCTAAGGAGAAATCTTTCAACATCCTGTTGTTGAGCTTCATTGTTAAGACTGGTCAGGAGACTCCTCCCTCCCAGGGGGGAGGGGAGGGAGGGCAGTGAGGAAAGTGTGTATGTTGCAACATTTACACCAGGGTCAGCTGTTTGGCTGCTCACGTGATCTGAGCCTAGTATAAAGCAGGATGCAGAAGAAGGGCTGCTTAACTCCGAAGCTTCCCAGAGCCCTGAGAGAAAAGAGGACAAAGCGGGGAAGGCGAGAGGAAGACCACAGAAAAGCAAAAAAGAGAAGGAAGGAAAGAAAAGAGAAATGGAAGGTTCCAAGACACACAGCTCTGAAAGGTGAGAGCGGGGCTACAATTCAAGGGAAATTACCATAGAAAGGCATGGCATTTCTTCCCCCCCCCCCTCACTCTTTGGGTTGGGATTCGGGTTGCTGCTCTCCACCTCTACTTTACTGGGAATGGGAGGATCCTTTTCCCTTCCTCCTCCTTTCTATTGACAATCTCTTCCCCCTCTCCTGGCAGAATTTGGGATGCTGATGCTCCTTCTCTTTCCCACTCCCGCCCTCACCACCCTGCAATGCTTTTTCTCCCCACCCCACTCGTTGGGAAAGAGCTAGCTTTCATTTTGGAGGGGGTGGTGAGATGCTTCTGACACTGATGTTTTTTCCCTCTGCTTTCCCAGCATGCCTGGAGACCTATCAGAAGCCCTGAAGGAAGCCACCAAAGAGGTGCATGAGCAGGCAGAGAGCACAGAGTTTATGAAGAATTTCCAGAGGGGGCAGGTGTCACTGCAGGAGTTTAAGGTATCCCTGCAGTGCTGCTGGGGTGGAAGGGGAAAACTGGGCTCTAGGGAACATCTCGTGTCTAATTCAGAACAGCCAAGTCAGGGCTCCTGAATGGGAAAATCTTTGGGTCATGACAACATAGCATCATTGTGTCACTCATCATGCCAGCATCTAGCTCCAAGTAACTTCAGGGTTCTCTCAATGTCTTGCAAACTCCTGTTGCAGAATGTGGTGCAGAGCTGTGCATTTCTGGGTGGGGAGTGAAGCTACACTTAGCGGGGGTGTGCCTAGCTTTGCTGACACTGCATGAAAGGGCTGAAGAAATTGCTTTAATCTTTCCTCGCAAATCAATTAAACGCCCATGTGTTTGCTTATAGTCAAATGATGATTGATGGAAATATACTGTGTACAAGCATATGAAGGGTTTAAAATCACCAAGGAGGGGGAAGAATTATTTAGAATGATCTAAGTGGGTATACATGGAAGTAACCGCGGGAAAGAGACAAGGAAAATTCAGTCTGGATATTGGCAGTCATTTCCTAAAAGTGAGGTCTGCCAGGCGGTGGAATAGTCTCTGGTCCTGAAGGTTCCTAGTTGTTTCCTCTGTAATATTAGAATTATAATTTGGTTTAGCACTGGACCAAGGAGGATACGACTATACAGTTCATGGATTTGAGCAAACTGTGTCTCTCACAAATATGCAGGAGCTAATCATTGTTCCAGTTGAATGAATGAATAAATGCTAATTACCTTGTGGAGCCCTTTTTGCTCAGCTCAAGCAGGACCAGTTACATGTAACTCTGATTTCTAAATTAAAATAAATAAATGGAGATATCCTATCTCCTAGAACTGGAAGGGACCCTGAAAGATCATTGAGTCCAGCCCCCTGCCTTCACTAGCAGGACCAAGTACTTATTTTGCCCCAGATCCCTAAGTGACCCCCTCAAGGATTGAATTTACAATCCTGGGTTTAGCAGGCCAATGCTCAAACCACTGAGCTATCCCTCCCACTAATGATCATACGATCATACAATATCTAGGTGTAACCCTGGAGAGATAATGGGGTTCCCGACAGCTGAATCACATAATAAACAAAGCCACAAGGAAAAACAGGAGATCCAAGTGAGCTAGAAATTCCTGAGGGCCTTGAGGATGTGACACATGGATTGTCATGCCACAGCTGTTAATTTGATCTAGTGTGAGTCAATCATCCACCAGTTTCTGAAACTAACTGCAGTGCTGAACTCCTACAAATGAGGATGTGGCATTAGCTAGGCAATGAACTTCAAAGTGGGGTAGCAGTAACACCCCCCTTCCCCCACAAGTCATTTCTCTGAGACCAAAGGATTCAGGACAGTTTATGAGAGGATAGTGATCTGTTGTCAGGGAGAGTCAGAAGTGACTATGGGCTCCAAAAGGTAATGCCGACGGGCTGAGATTTTCAAAATCAACTGGAGGATTTAGCCACACAACTTCCACTAAGGCCTCTAGTTAGCTTTGAAAATATCGACTATTCTAGTTACGTTTTCTTAACTTGTCATGCAATTTTCCTCTATTTTGTAACCAAGCTTCCTTAGGCTGTTACCAGACCTTTCCAGGAATTTGGCTAATGGGGTCAATGTTTAAAATCCTTTTTATTTCTGTTGCTAACTTCCCCGTAATATACAGATGACTATGTAGAAATAGCTGCTGATTGTAGTGGCAAATGTAGGAATGATTACTATTTATTGCAGTCAGCCCTGTAGAAACAACACAGATCAGGGAGCGTGAATTGGTTTCTTTTTTGGTTTTTGTATCTGCAGCAGAATTTTTAACCAAGCCTGAGCCATCTGTATCACATTGCCTTCAGATTCTGCCCGTAGTTACCCCTGAGCACCCTGATTGTAAAGACAATGGGATTGTACATGTGTTAGCGAAGGCAGCATTTGAGCAGCAGAATCTTCTGGTGATGATGCAGAAGAAGGAAAGAGCCCAGTTTAACTGTCAAACCCCAGTTTGAAGGACTGGCAGTTAGAAAAAGCATCTTGTAAGAGGAGAAAATGTGATATGGCAATAGAGACACAACAAACACACAACCTCCCAATGATCTTTTCACGAAGTCCCTTTTCAGGGCTTGTCTACACTTACATTTTATAGCACTCTAATTTGCTGGCTCAGGGGTGTGAAAAATCACCCCCCCGAGCGTAGCAAGTTTGAGCGCTTTAAAGTGCTAGTGTGGCCAGGCTCCGAGCTATTCCCCTCGTGGAGGTGGATTACCAGGAGCACTGGGAGAGCTCTCTCCCAGCGCTCACGCGTGACCACACTCACACTTCAAAATGCTGCCGCGGGAGCGCTCCTGCAGCAGCACTTTGAAGTTTCTAGTGTAGATGTAGCCTGACTGTTTCCTGTCCCCTTTTATGCCAGCAGCGACCTTGACTGCCACAGTGGGTGGGTGTTTTTTGAGGATTTCTAGCTGAATGTCTCTGAAAAGATATTCCTATCTAGTCTCCTTGAGGCAGCCAAAGTGAAAGGAAAGTGGCCACCCTACTTACTGATCTTGAAGGGACAGGGGCTGCAGTTCCAACATCTGTGGTGTCTGAGCAGAGGTCTGCCCATTGAGTGAACAGATCATAAAGTAAAAAGGTTCTGTCAAGGCCTAGGAAAGGGATAGGATCCCCAATCTCTTGAGACAGTCAGAACTGAACAGTGCTCTTGAGAATGTACCTTTTGGGAATCATTCCTGTATGGGGAGCGGTGTATGTGTGTGGGAATAGACTAGATGTGACCTAATAGGATTCTTCACACTCTAATTTCTATGATCCCAAGGTGAAGGACGCTGTCTTGGTGAAGGTGAAGTTGGGGATATGGTACAACACATACACAGTGTATATATGCAGATATGTTGTATTAACGTGAAGCTGGAAGGCGAGAGACCCTGTTGCTGACTTATTCCTTCCCTTTTACTGCAGATGGTTCTGACTTCTCTGTACTACATCTACTCTGCTCTGGAGGAGGAGATTGAGCATAACAAGGATCACCCGGCCTATATCCCCGTTTACTTCCCAGCTGAACTGCACCGTAAGACTGCCCTGCAAGAAGACTTGGAGTATTTCTATGGCCCACTGTGGAGGGAAGAGATCTCATGTCCCGAGTCCACTCAGAGATATGTGAATAGGCTCCACTATGTGGGCCAGCATGAACCAGAGCTCCTGGTGGCCCATGCCTACACTCGGTACCTGGGAGACCTATCTGGTGGGCAGGTGTTAAAGAAGATTGCCCAGAAAGCTCTCCACCTACCCAGTACTGGAGAAGGACTGGAGTTCTTCACCTTTGAAGGGGTGTCCAATGCCACAAAGTTCAAGCAGCTGTACCGCTCCCGGATGAACTCCATCGAGATGGACCCAGTCACCAAGAAGAGAGTCTTGGAGGAAGCCAAGCGGGCATTCTTGCTGAATATACAGGTGAGTAACTAGCCTGCATTCCCCACTGCCTCTCCCACCTAAGGTACAGCTGCTATCTCAACATAGGCATGGTGGCGTTTGTACTGATGAGCTGAAGGAAAGCTGTGGGCTGTCAGGAGTAGTGACAGCTGTACTGAACTTTTCCTATGTGAAAATTGCTTTTATGAGCCTCCCAAGAGACTGGATACTAGAAAACTTTTTTTGCCTTTGTGCAATGGATCCTCTCCAGGATTTGAATGCAGGCTCTTCCTTTGCTGCTCTTGTTTGAACATGAGCGTTTATTTTGGGGGCAGGAATCAGAGTCCACATATCCCTTTATCCTAGTATTTCCACACATCCCCTCCCTCCCCTACAACTCTCTTCTATACGAACACACACACACCCTGCTTTCTCTCTGATCTGGAGGATGAGCATTGGGGCACAGCTTACTATTGAATTGCCCCGGGAAAGCATTTCACACACTTCATACTATTAAACAAGCAAGGAGTATAGAGGAGTTCAAGAGAGACCCTTAGGTAGACTCCTTTCTGGAGAAGGAGAGACACACAGGATTAGTGGCTGAGCCAGATATCTTTCTCTAGTTCCCAAAATCTCTTCTGGAGTAAGAAGGGGCTCAGGGAGGAGAGAAGACAGCATTCCAGGTAATGCGGTAATTGTGTGTGTGTGTTTCTTGTTCTCAAGGTGTTTGACGAACTACAGAAATTGGTGTCCCAGTGCCATGAGAACGGTCACCCTGCACAACAGAAGCCAGAGCTTCGCACAAGAGGCACCAGCGGAGCACATGAGCATGGTAAGAACCTTCCTAAAGCCAATTTTTAGAGTTTCCTTTTTTTTTTTTTTTTTAATTCCCTTTACCTTTCCTTGCTGAGTGGTGAGAAAGAGGAGTTGGCTCCAGCTGTCCTTGAGTGTCTCTATTTCCACTCCACTAGTGTTGGCTAGTGTAGCAGACGTGTGTGAGAAACTCCTGCTGAGAGCTTCAAAGGAGGCTGGAAACATGTGGGATCTTGTGAGCTCTGCAGAAATAAAAATACGCAGCTTTTATATGGTGCTTTTCACCAGTAGGTCTCAAAGTGCTATCATCATCCCCCTTTCACACATGGGGAAACTGACTGTTAGGAAGGTTTACAATTAATGGGCGTGATTCTCCTGTTCCTCTCACTGGTTTTACACCAGTATAACTCCATTGGCTTCACTGGAGATCTACCGGTGTAAGCAATAGGAGAATTAGGCCCAACTGAGACTACTTGCATGAGTAAAGGCTGCAGGATTGGGCGCAGTGTAGCACGGTAATGATTGATGCTACAGTCCTGACTGAGGAGGCACTTGCATTATAAGCCCCCTTGACATGAAGACCTACCCAAACTCCTGTCTTTTGGACTGAAACTTTTCGTGCTTGTTGTCAGTGAATATTTCTGGAAAGAAAGAGAAAATTCTTTTTCTCCTGAGTGTTGGGATAGTGCTGCTGTGTGGTCCCCGCTGCATTTCCTTACTATGAAATATAGCAAAGTCAGAACTACTTGTATCACCCCGGGCCCGGCTTGAGATCTTGCAGCTGCAGTATCCGAGGGCGGCTACTTTCCCAATCAGAATTCTAGTCTAACTTTAGAGCTGAAATGGCTCCATCTACTGACAAGATGCTGCCATTGCAGGAATGACATGGTGAGGTTCAAAGATCTCTCCAGCCATTGCAAACCATGCCCTTATTGCGGGGATAGAGTAACTATTCCGTAGCAAAGGTTGCTTCCAGACTTCTACTGGAGAAAGTGACTTATCTGAGAGTTCTCCTTGTAACCTAAGAATTTTGAAACTAGCAAGCAAGCAACGCTTTCATATGGTATTGAGTTGGGCCACCTTCATTTCAACATAAGGAACATTACTCTCAATTTCACCCTTGTATGTAGGTCTTGCTACACATTCAACCATGGGGTAATTTTCACAGAAATGGCATGAAACATTTTTAATACATCTTTTGTCATTATGGAATTTTATGGCACTCTCAAAAGCACTCAGTGTTGACCTTTTGAAAATCCCACCCTAAGTGGTTTTTTTATGTTTTGAAGTGCTTACCTGCATTCTGCAACTGCCAGGAGTTGGAGGGCCCTATGTGGGAGTATTGAACCAGGGTTGGGGGGCAGCCATTACTCTCACGCAGGCTCTTTTGACAGCTGGCAGAGCTGCTAAGATCTGACAGAGAGGAGCCCTGTTTCAGCAAACCTTATATAGTCCTATGCATAGTCTGCCCTCATGCAGACCCCAGAGGGAAGAGAGTGGACTGGGGCAGGGTACGGAGGGAGCAAGGGCTGGTTTGTGAGTCAGAGCCAAGATTGGGCCATGAAGTAGGGCCAGGGAATAAAGACTGGCTGGGGAAAACAAGGCTGGAGACTGTCCGAAAGGTTCGGGCCCTGGGCTTTCCAGGAAGCAAGGCCAGGGAGGAGATGAAATAATCTTAGGTGCTCCAGGAAAGTCTTTTCACCAAGAAAGCTTTAACCTACACTCAGGCTTTCTCTACACAGCGCACTGAGCTGCTCCTAGGAAGCAGCAGGAGCCTGGCATTGTGGTAAACTTGAGATTTACAAAAAGCAAAAGGAACCAAAACACATTAAGTTACAGCAGTGGGAGGCCACCCTGCACATCTGGCCTGGAGGAAACAGATTGAGTGCACTTGCAGGGCAGTGAGGGTTATTAGACTGTACCACACACCTGGGAGGGATGTGAGGATTTACACCACAAACCCTACCCCTCTGAACTGGTTGAAGGCACTTGACTACTGACCTTGTGTCTCACTAGCCCACCCACTTGTGGTTACATCTGGTGTATCCCTTCACCATTATCCTGTGCGATTGCTCACTTTGGCCACAGTTTAGTGTGCCAGGGATAACATCAGTGCATCTTTGGAGATTGATATAAAACTAACATAGAAGCAAACCCTTCCTAGCCTGATTCCTGCTCTTACAAATTTGATTTCTGTTGATTTTAGGACCAGCTCCTGTGAAAGAAGGTGAAAAGACATTGATGAAGCACACAGGCATGCTGCCTAGCACTCCACTGGTACGGTGGATTCTTGTCGTCAGCTTCCTAGTGACAACGGTAGCTGTGGGCTTGTTTGCCATGTGAACAGAAGGGACTCTAGGCCTTGCCCTCCTGCCGCTCCCTCCTCAAACTAACACACCTAATGCCATCCATCCTGCCCTCTACCCGGACACTCTGATCTTGGCTGTGCCACTCACCCTTTTCCAATGGATTCAGAGGACTCTAAAGGCTTCGTGTGAATTCTCCCTGATCTGTGTTGAGAGCATTTCTTAACCCACAGACTGAACTTGGCCAAAAAGCTGAGGCAGAATCAGAAAGGTCGTGAAAGGCATTGCTGGGACCTGGCACCGCTTCAGACAGTTCCTGCAAAGAGCCCCAGATGTAAAGCACAGGTCTGGTAGCTTCCCTGCTGCCTGGGAAAAAAGCCTTACTGGTGCTTTGTTCACTCAGTGTTTCGTACAGCTGGCTGATGCAGCAACGATTGCTTCTGTGGCATTATGAGGTTCCCCTCTGATAATAGACTGTTTTATATGATGCTATTAGCCCGTTGTAGCATATTTTCCCAATCATGACTCAGATCAATTTTGTTTTGAGACAGCAGAATGCAGTTGTTGAAAATACAGTGTTGTCCTTGTGTCCTGTCTGTATAATTTATACATTAACAATAAACCTCAATATAAGATGACTCTGCTGTGTGTTTCCTGGGGTTAGTGCCTCATCTGGTCTGGGGGAGGAAGGAGGTGCCTTTTGCTGGTTCTGTTAATGCTTTGGGAAGGGCTGGCTGCATGCTCAGAAAACTGATACGATGAGGCACAGAATGGGGAGTTAGCAGATCGGGGCTCTGTTCCCAACTCTGACACCAATTCATTGTGTGACCTTAGGAAATTCTCTTAACCTGTCTATGCCATGGAGATAACTACACTTACCCATCTGCATAAAGCACTTTGAGATTGATGGATGAAAAGCTCTATGTAAGAGCGAGGTACTGTTAATTATAAAATGTCTCTGACATTAAAGGAAATAGTTGGTGACCCAAAGCCCCTCCACATTTCCTGGGCCTGAGACTCAGCTGGTGTCAATTGGTGCAGTTCAGTGGACCTGTGCTGACTTACACCATTCATGAGGACCTGGCCCATCATGAATCCATTCACAGTGCCTGGCTGAGAACTTCACCGTGGATTAGAAAAACAGGTATATTTTAAAACCAAGAAGTTTAAATTCCTGACAATAACACCAGACTGGCTTTTAATTATGCAGACCAGAGCAAAAAGAGACAGCAAGCATATAACCGCACAACCCAGCATAGCTAACAACCAAGGCAAGACCAATTATTAGTCACCAGCTCTGACCTATTCAGTGAGGTGATAAAGACAGCACCATAACCAGTAACGCTACAGCAACAATTATGCAAAGGATTCTCTTTCCCCTTCCACTGACTGAAATCTGGCTAGCAGCTATTATAGTTGCAGGCTATATCACTTCACATTGTGATCTTATTATAAACAAGCACTTGCAGAAGATGCTGTCTTTCAGATGTGACATAAAACAGAGGTGATGACAACCTTTGGTCATCCCTTTTCCACTGCAGGTCCCCTCCCTCTTCCTACCTGACAGTCCCTACTGTCCACCTGTTGCCCTGCCGCTGCCTGCTCTGGTTCCCTTTCTGATCACGTGGCAGTGTACTCCTAGGTGACCTGTCTGCTAATTGCCAGATCCTGGTCAAATAACAGCAGTTAGAAGGCAGGTCTTGTGGGGAATAAAAATTGGGGAGGGGCCTCCTGAGAAAGAGGGACCAGCTTCAAACTAAAGTTTCAATCTACAAAACCCTCCTAGATACATTTACCAAGCCTGGGAAAACACCAGTTATTTGAAATTGGCTACCTTTTTAAGGTTTGAAAAGTAGGAACATTACTCATCTGACCAAACTCCAATATTTATTCATTCACACTTGTTTCATGTTTCACTGATCAGGTTCCTGTAAGTATAAAATAATTATAATTGCACCATTCATTCAAAAACATTAAACACAACATACACACAAACATGCACAAGCCTCAAACAACATATTCCACCCCAACATCTCTCCCATTTCCAACTCATCCCTCCATCCAAGGACAAGCCTGGGGAAACAGGTACGTCTTTTATTTTGCCCATAAAGTCACCAAATCTGAGTTCAGATAGACATGAAGAAAGCCATGCCATAAGCCCCTCCTATTAGCGTCAGTAGAAGGCTTGAGTCTCAAATGACCATAGTCACTGTGGTATTGCACCAAGGGTATGTCTACACTACAGGATTAATCCGAATTTAGATAATTCGAATTTGGGAAACAGGTTGTATAAATTCGATTGTGCGCGGCCACACTAAGCACCTTAATTCGGTTTTAAACCACATTAATTCGGTGGTGTGCGGCCACACTACCCCATTAACTTAAACACAGTAATTCGGTGGTGTGCGTCCACACTAACCCTAATTCGAATTAACAAAATCGATTTAGGCTCTACTCCGTTCGTCGAGGTGGAGTACAGAAATCGATTTAAGGGGCCCTTTAATTCGAATTAACTGGCTCTGTAGTGTGGACGGGTGAAGGGTTAATTCGGATTAAGGCAGCTAAATCCGAATTAAAGTCCTAGTGTAGACCAGGCCCAAGAGAGGTAAAACTTCAGGTAGCTTGAACCCAAATAATTTAAGGTGTTGATTTTTGACCTTTTAGAGGCCTAAACTTTATCCATGAAGATCAGATGAGCAATTTACATTCTGCCCCCCCAAATCCCTCTGCAGTTCCATTGGCTATTCCACCCATTCTGGCCTGTGCTGTTTAAAAAATTGCCTCCTTCCACCCAAGCAACATCTCCACTTCAGTGATGGGCAAATTCATTTGGAAACCAGTTTGCAGTGAACGTCTAAAGAAAAATGTCTCTCTCAATGTCAATCATAATTCAGTTGTGTATATTACTCATTGTCACTTACACAAGTGATGGGATAAATGACTTTTAAAAGATTGTCCTAAGCCAGAGCTGAATGCAAAGTGTACAGTAGTCAAATAGTTTTAATTATGGAACTTAACACCTTACATTGAATAAGTGCTGTACAAACTAACTAATTAATGCTCACAATAGCCTTGCTAAGTAGGTCTGTATTATCCCCTTTTTATAGACATAAGGCAGCAGGGTTGCCCTGGAGTCTCCAGGCATTAAAGATTAATCTTTAATTAAAGATTATGTATGTGATGAAACCTCCAGGAATATGTCCAACCAAAACTGGCAACCCGAATAAGGCCTGATCCAAAATCCAATGAAGTAAATGGAAAGACTGCCACTGATTTAATGGGGTTTGGATTAGGTCCATAGAGGGGATAAGTGACTTGATTAAGGTTCCACAATAAGTCAATATCAGAACCACTTTTAGGGTTCCCAACTTTCAAATCGCACAAAACCGAACACTCTTGCCCTGCTCCCTGCCCCAACCCCGCTCAATCCATTACCCCTCCCTCCGTTGCTCGCACTGCCCCATCCTCAGTCGCTAATTTTCACTGGACTGGAGCAGGAGGTTGGGGTGTGGTTTCCAGCTGGGGGTGCGGGCTCCGGGGTGGGGCCAGAAATGAGGAGTTCAGCATGTGGGAGGGGGCTCTGGGCTGGGGCAGGGGGCTGGGGTGAGGGCTCTGGCTGGGGGGTGCGTACTATAGAGTGGGGCCAGAGATGAGGGGCTTGGGGTGCAGAAGGAGGCTCAGGGCTGGGACCAAGGAGTTTGGAGTGCAGGAGGGGGCTCAGGGCTGGGGCAGGGGGTTGGGGTGCAGGAGAGGGTTCAGGGTGCAGGCTACAGGCAGCGCTTACTACAGGCAGCTCCTGGGAAGCGGCTGGCATGTCCTTCCAGCTCCTAGTCAGAGACACGGCCTGGTGGCTCTGAGTGCTGCCCCTGCCCACAGGCGCCGCTCCCACAGCTTCCATTGGCTGCAGTTCCCAGCCAATGGGATCTGTGGAGCTGGTGCTCGGGGCAGGAGCAGCTTGTGGAGCGCACATGGCCGCTGCTAGGCCTAGGAGCGAGAGGGACATACCAGCCATTTCCCGGGAGCTGCATGGAGCCGGGTAGGGACCAGGAGACAGTTATCCAGGACAGTCTGTGTTACTAAGGCCCTGGGGCCCAGCAGGACAGGCCATCTCGGCACAGTATGGCCCAAGGGACTGTGATGGAGGGCCCAGGTTACTGCAGCTGTTCACAGGCCTGATCCGCACTGGCTGCGCCCTGCGGCTGCCCTTTGACTCCCTCGGGCCCAGGCCCCCTGGAGCGATGGGCGGGTGCCCTGCGCCCCGACCCCCCACCACCGGTCGCAAGGACAGAGCCACGTGCAAGGATAGGAGCTCCCACCTCGCTCCCCCGCGCCCGACCCAGCCACCATCTTACTCCCTCCCCTCCACTTGTCACTTCCCTCCAGTCGGGTTTTCGCGCCAAACTGCGCCTGACCACACGGGAGGGCGGGGAAGGGGCGGGGCTTCAGCACCTCCTCCAATCCTCTTCCGTCTCCATGGCGACTCCCCGCTCGCTTCCGGATCAGCCTGGACGTCGCTGGGCCAATCACCGGCGTCAAGTTCCAGACTGGCCAATAGGGACGCGCGTCTCCTACCTCGGTAGAACGTTTCTTAGCCCCGCCTCAATCCCCAGTTTTGCCGCGAAAACCGGCTGGTCCGCGCGTGTCCGTTACTGGGGCGATACGAGGTGACTGAGCCGGGGGGCAGCGAGTTATCAGGAGATCTTGGCGGGGGACAGAGGAGGTGGGGCGGATGGGGGATGCCCTCGGGGGTCGGATGGGGGATGCCCTCGGGGGTTGGATGGGGAGTGGGGGCGGGGTTGGATGGGGGATGCCCTCGGGGGTTAGGCCGTGGGGGGTCGGATGGGGGATCCCCGGGGGTCGGATGGGGAGTGGGGGTAGATGGGGGTTATTGCAGGGGTGTGTCAGACGGGAGCGCTCTCTGCGGAGGGAGCCGGGCTAATCGTATCCCCTTCTCTGCGGCTTGCCCAGGGCGGTGGAGCAATCTTCGCCATGTCCGGCTTTGACGATCCCGGCATTTACTACAGCGACAGCTTTGGGGGCGACCCGGCGTCAGATGAGGGTCAGGTCCGGAAATCCCAGCTGCAGAGGCGGTTCAAGGAGTTCCTGAGGCAGTACCGGGTGGGCACGGACCGGTCTGGCTTCACCTTCAAATACAGGTGCTGCTGAGACAGAGAAGGAATCCCTCCAGCCAACTCTGCCTGTAGCTATCTGCCTTCTCTTCTCCCTTTGAAGGGGCAGCTGTTAACTTTCCTTCTAGTGTGGGTCCAATCTAAATAATTGTTAGCGCTTACATAGCGCTTTCACCTGTAGCTCCCAAACAGCTTTTCACTGGATGGTCAGTGTCATCATCGCTGTTTGTGCAGGTGGGGAAACTGAGGCACTGAGAGGTGTAGTGATTTCCCTGGGATCACACAGCATGCCAGTGACAGAGCAGGGAATGAAACCTGGTTCTCTAGACTCCTTGTCCAGTGCCCCATTCACTGGATTATGCTGCCCTCCATGGCCTGCACTGCAAAGTTTGGCTCTAGATCTGAATTTCAAGTCCCCAGTTTCATGTTTCAGGGTGTTTAAATCTGGGGTTTAGTTTGGGTTTCTCTTTAGTGTAAGTCAGTAATGGGTTTTCATCCCATGTGTTTTG